CCGCTCGCGCCTATAAACTGCGCATGCTCGCCGGGGGAGTGTGCCGGTTGAGCGTAATAAGAGTACGACCTCGCTAACGCGTGCAAACGGTGAACTGCGGACGGAGAATCATGCTCTTTTTCTTTTCTCGTTTGCTCTCTGGGTCTAGTGTTATGCGCGCCGGATCTCAACTCCATTCAAAGCTGTTTTGAACACTGCGGAAGACGGAGGCTTGTACGAGCTTCATTGGAACTTCGACAACGAAGCAGAAACTTATTGTTCGCGTCCAGACCACCAATGGACAAATGCCAAACTCTGATGTGGTCATAGAATGGGTCACTAATGGAGGAGAGACCGTGCTCCATGTGAGTTAGAATCTAGCTACGTTACCGAGTGTTCATAACAGTGCTGCAGGACCGGTTTGCAGCGGGGCGAGACCCTCCCACTGTGGACGAGCACCAAGACTGGGATTTGGAAAGTGGGGCAGAAAAGAATGGCTTCACAGTCCTTAGGTTCAGTCAGAAATACATCACTTGTGATGAACATGACTTACCTATCAAGGCAAATTGTAAACCGGTGAATAATACCTATATTAAGTCCTTGAACCTGTTGTTTGTAGGCTGAGACAGCACGAATCATTTGGGTTTCCATGCCAGTAGTGACCCAGCCACTCAGGGGGACATTCCCTCCAGTCTCGTCCACTCTGCGAAGGGATCAAAGAGTCTCAATCTACTGGGAGGTCTGCCTTCCACCAGCTCCTGACCGCCAGGATCCAAGTTCTTTTGATGTCGGGTTTGACAATGTGAGTCCTCACAGGGATATAATTACAGACCAGCAAGTGGTGTTTCTCTAATGTCATTCTAAATTGCAGATCACCATTCCTAAAATTACAAACCTACTGTGCTCAGTGTCGAAATTCCTCAAAGCTCACATGCAGACTGGTTATGTCACAAAGGTGAATGTCTCTCCCACTATCACTAACAGCTATATATCATCTAAGATCACTACTGTTACGGTCCTCTTTCCCCCTCTCATGTAATGCAACAGAGCTATGTACATGTATCTGTTGTGAAGTGGTCGCGTGGATCAGATATATTATCCTTCTGGTGCACTGATTATGTGCGACCACAACATCCATTTTCAAGTCCTGTTTTAAAGCCGCCTCCTAAAACAAAAAAAAAAAAAAACAAAAAAAAGAAAAAAATTTGAGGACAGTGGATTCAAGTCCTAACTATTATATGGACCCAAGCAGGTTTTTTCCCATTACAGATTACACCACACCCCAGAAATTTAGTTTATTATACCTACATATCTAACATGATATATTATAATAATATGGCCCACAGTTATTAGCCCCGGACGGTAAAGTATAACGAAACGTGCGAACAGGACGGCTCATTGGCCACATGGACAACACGGGGCTAGTGTGGTGGCCCTCTGCAACGATGAACAACAAAATGTGAGGATGGACACACAACGGAACCTTAAGAAGAACAAAAATCTCTGTTTCATCGTAAGCTCACACAATAGTCTAGGTGTACTTACTTGATATCAGTACGCTCCGATGTAGGAGCCTTGACAAACCTACGTCTCGGATGCAATATATCCAGCAGTATAGCTAGAGCCATAAACTGCTTGTGTCCGGCAGTTGACCACTGCGTCGCCCGCCCCAGTCCGGCACAGCCCATCAAATGGTGCTTTGTGCAAAGGTGTTTATATACTCAATGCCTATCATGCCATTCTTGTACCGAGGGTTCACACTATAGTGGTGTTTGTGATATCTACCGCAATTTTCAGGGTGGATTCAGTACGAGAGAGGAGATTTTGCATTGTACACCCTCCTTCGTCTACTATCCGTGCTAGATGTGGTGGATTTGTCTGTCTCAACTCTCTGCTGTACATCCTGTCTGGTGAGAGGATTGGTGTGTATAGAGACCGTGAGTGTTCTGAGACGAGCCACAGTAGGTCTCTCATGACGCTCACCCACTACTGCAGCGCCATCGTTTGACCTGATGCCTTGTCTACATTGATGTAGTTGTACGTCTAGCTAGAAGTATTGCAAAACTGTAATGTGGACACGTGGTGTAATTGGGCTACAAGGAGCCAGTGTTAAGTGGCATGATAGAGAGGTTACGCAGTCGCACTGCCCTACTGCTACATCTGTATAATAGTTTGACACTAAGTGTTATACAGATACATCGGTAGCGATTTAGTTACAAGGTCTCAAGATTGTTTATACCTCCATGGAAGAGATGGCTTCAACTGAATCATAACCAGAGGCTAGCAGGCAATTCACACTTATTCAGGAAGTCTCTCTCTCTAGTAAATTTGCACATCATGAGACAAACCCTTTCATTCGTTCTTCTTTTCCTCCTCCTCGGCATGAATGAAAAGTTGGCAAATATACCTCTCACCTGGAGTGATTAGTCTCAGCTGGACTCTCAGTCAGAAAGCTGGAACTCCCCTTTATCAAGATGCGTGCAACAGAATGCGCCACGTATGACTATATAGAGTGCCTATACTGACCGTGCATATCCATGGATGTTAACGTATTGGGCAGCTTGTGAAAAGTTGTTAGACTATGCAGATACATAACATGACGTCTCTGCATCAGCCTATACTTACTAATGTACAAAGCAAACTGCTTGTTTGTGAGGAGAAATGTTGCCCACGTCATGAATTACCAATAGCAAAAAAGGTGTATTCGTGAATTGTGTATAGAGAAGATTATAGTTATGTGCTAGTCTGTCAGTGATGGAGTAGAGGTCCCATCTCTTCTGAGCAGTGACTGGGATCTGGCTGCGGACTCTGTCCACCTCTGACAGGTCCACCTCTCCATACACATGCCTTCCTTCTCATCTGCACTCACCACCACCTTACCCTGGGTGATTGAGTCACAAAATAACATAGACAGTTATCAAGTTATAGACGAACATTCACTGCAGGAGTGCTAAAGGAGAGAAATTTTGCACTAAATGCACAAAACACACCAAGGATTGCGAGCATGGAGTGGCCCCAGATGGTAGGAGGCGGTGAGATCCTGGCTGAAGATATCCCTGCAACAAACAGCTGGTTATTGGCCGCCCTGTAGGAGAAACCAGAACCGTACAATAGTGAATAAACTAGCAGCTTTTGATAACTAACAGTCCACGAATGAGCAGCTCCCAGTGCACTGGGCCAGTAACAGTATTGAAGGCTCAGGATATAGCAACAACTTGCACCCTATTCACACTCTCATCCAATTGTTAGCTACATATTCTTATCCTATAGCTACCTCTGAGTCCATAGATGGAACCAAGTTCAGGGAATCTTAGGTCATAGCAGATACCAATTCCAACCTTACACCAGTCTATATAAGACAAAAATATATAACTGGAAAAACATGAGCTTGCCCAATCTTGTAATGACTTGAGACAAGTTCACACGATACTGACAGTTTCCCAAGTTAGTGTGTTGATAGGCTATTTTATGTGCCAGTTGTAAACCAGGATGTACACGAGGTGAAGAACTTGCCACTGCGTTTATCGATTGGCTTATGATCAGTACGTAGAACTCATGGTGTTCAACGACATGGTAGCTAAAAACCGCCAGGTATTATACATCACTTTCAGTTCATCCCATATTGTAGTCATGCTACATAACTATTATGCAACTAGAACCAACCAGTAACAAAAGACAGGAATTTGTTTCCTGGAGAGAGCACGTCAGGTTCCCTGAATCGCAGTTTCCCCGGGATATTAACATCAACTAGATGCACCTTCAATGGCACATTATCAGATGAAAAATATTATACTCAGCTACATACCTTTCTGAATACCCCCAACAGTGCTCCGTCAGGCCCAAAACTCATGGATGTGTTGTAGTACTTGCCTTCTCTCACCTCTGGGATAGACCCTGCAGTTAACGAGCTAATATTGTAGTTGCACGCCTCCAACAGTACAATGGCAGACCTCCTACTAGGAAGACACCACATTCTCTGGCGACCTGAGAGAGAGCTTTGCAGGACTCTCCAGCCCCAGGCCCAGGCTGCCCAGTCTCCGCCGGTACTTCCTCTGCATAGTCCTTGAAGTACTGCGTGCCGTACGGACTGTTGAAACATTCCTACGCGCAGACAATGAGCCATCATTGTCATTATTTTCTCGTATGTAGTCACAGTCACTCACGGGCAAGGCTACGATCTTTGACCCATTCTGTGCCGCCTCCCTCACTTTCTCAGATGCTCTGCTCAGATTGGTGGCTTTATCTGACCCTACCGCCAGTTGGATGAGAGCCAGCTTGAAGGAAGTGGTGGCTTCGGCATATCCGGCTCGAGCTCCTAAATCGGCGCATGCGCTTTCACTTAGGTCAGCGAGGCCGAGGAGCGTCGATCGACTGGACTGACCACCGTCGGCTCGACCGCGCTCAATGCCCCGTTTGAGCGAAGCATTGCGTCCGTCACGGACCTCGCATTAGTCTGGCGTGTAGCTACCCTAGCAGTCCCGTGAGAGTAGCTGCAAAATCTGCGGCCCTGAGTTACCAACCGTCCCGGGATTCCATGGATTGTCCCGGGTGTCGAAGGGAATTGAGCATGTGTAAATCTCTTCCGATCCCAACAACTACTAACATCGTTTCAGGTCCAGGGTTGCGCCGTTATTTGCGCATGCGCAATAACAGGTCGTGTGCCGGTGCCCAAACCCATTCGCTCATTTGGGAAAGACGTCTGGTTAACTGGGGTAACTAGTCTGGGGTGGGTAACTATGGACACGCAAATGAGATCTACAATCAGACTGCAGAACGGCCAATCAACGTGTGGTGCATCCGTAGTCGGCGAACTATGGGTGTAGGTGTATTCAACTTCCATAGCTAAGCTGAGAGGCTTCTGACACAGTTGGTCACCTTTGTGTATAGATTTAAGAATCTTTAATTCGTTTGTTTATTATTCACTTGTTGGCTTGTGTCACTGAATCAACTTTGAATGTCCAGGATTCGGTTCCCGGCCTCCCATATATTACCAGCTCTTGGTGCCGTAAAGAAATCAAACCCACAGCAAAGCTCATCATCATCTGAAATTACCTACGTTTATAGCAAAAACACATATCAAGAAAATTAATATTTGGATTACAAAAAAGTCGTGCTCCAGTCTGTAGAAAATGATTGTAGCTATGTATAATAGTCAGATGTTGGTTTTGTCAGTGATGGAGTAGAGGTCCCATCTCTTCTGAGCAGTGACTGGGATCTGGCTGCGGACTCTGTCCACCTCTGACAGGTCCACCTCTCCATACACAATGCCTTCCTTCTCATCTGCACTCACCACCACCTTACCCCTGGGTGATCGAGTCACAAATACAATAGACAGTTAGTCAAGTTATAGACGAACATTCACTGCAGGAGTGCTAAAGGAGAGAAATGTGGCACTTCATGCACAACAACACACCAAGGATTGCAGAGCATGGAGTGGCCCCAGGCATGGTAGGAGGCAGTGAGATCCTGGGCTGGAGATACCCCTGCAACAAACAGCTGGTTATTGGCTGCCCTGTGTATTATTTGGGACAAAAACCATAGTTCATGAGTTAGCAGCTTTTGGTAACTAACAGTCCACGAATAAGCAGCTCGAAGTGGAGTGGGCCAGTGGTAGTATTGAAGGCTCCAGGATATAGCAACAACTTGCACCCTATTCACAACATCTCATCCAATGGTTACAACACGTTCATCCCTTTATATACCTCTGAGTCCATAGATGGAAGCTAGTTCATAGAATCTTAGGTCATAGCAGATACCAATTCCAACCTTACACCAGTCTATATACAATAAAGAGAGATAACAAAATAGAACGCCACCAGAGAATAAACCTGCCCAATATTTTTAACGAAGTAGATGTATTGATAAAACTAACCTGTATCAAAGGAAAGGAGTTTGTCTCCCGGAGAGAGAATGTCAGATTCCTTGAACTTCTGTTTTCCCGGGATGTCAATGTCAAACAAATGCACCTGCAGTGATTGCCATTTCCATAATCAAATTCACCCAGAGAAAATATGTGCCGAAAAACTCACATTCAATCACACATGAATGACACAAACAGACATACCTTTCTGAATACCCCCAACAGTGCTCCGTCAGGCCCAAAACTCATGGATGTGTTGTAGTACTTGCCTTTTCTCACCTCTGGGATAGACCCTGCAATTAACGAGCTAATACTGTAGTAGCACGCCTCCAGTACAATGGCAGACCTCCGACTAGGAAGACACCGCATTCTCTGGCGACCTGAGAGAGAGCTTTGCAGGACTCTCCAGCCCCAGGCCCAGGCTGCCCAGTCTCCGCCGGTACTTCCTCCGCATAGTCCTTGAAGTACTGCGTGCCGTACGGACTGTTGAAACATTCCTACGCGCAGACAATAGCCATCATTGTCATATTTTCTCGTATGTAGTCACAGTCACTCACAGGCAAGGCTACGATCTTCGACCCATTCTGTGCCGCCTCCCTCACTTTCTCAGCTGCTCTACTCAGATTGGTGGCTTTATTTGACCCCACCGCCAGTTGGACGAGAGCAAGCCTGAAGGAAGAGGCTTGGGCAGCCATCAACGGTTCTCTCTTTGATGAAGGGGCGTTCTCAAAATTTGCGCATGCGTATAATGTAGCCAGGGATGTGTTAAGTCCGCAGAAACAGTGTAATACAGTGTTCTCTGTGACCCCAGTATTGGCAAGCCTTTAGAGTTTTTACCTGATCAGTGTCCATTGACCGTATCTAGGTGAGTTTGTACAGAAGGAGGTCTGACAACAATCCAACACATTGACTGAATCAGCAATGATAATGTGCTTGTAAAATAATTGTGCTGCCCTCTTGACAAGATTTGTGCTGGAATAAATGCCATGGATGCTACTTTGCCAATGGTTTGGCACATCAAGCAGTGAGCATGCATGGTTAACCGTCGACCCCAATAAACTTGTTTCAAGGGGAACGAAGACAGGGGACTAAACCAGGTAGTTAAAATGTGGAATTCGGCAGTATAAGGACGAAAGGGCCCAGTGCATGAATGCTCTCTTCTTATACCTGAGAGCCATGTCGTGGTAGAATTGTGTGCCTATGGGCTGGCGGTGCTTACATTTTAGCATTGAGACAAGCTGCACAAACATGATTGTGAGTGCATACAAAGATGTAGGTCCTCAGTCACCAAGTGCTCACTTTCAGAGGGGTAGGAAGGCACTCATTTTCCCTAGCTGTCCCACTTTTCTAGTACCTCCTATATACCCCTCTGACTTTCTGTCAGCTCATACAGATCTTAAAATCCGTTGATGTTATAGTTGATGTTGCATATGGTAAAGTATATAGCTACTTCATAATCGTTTTGTCTGGAATCACCATAATCTCTCTCTCACTTTTAATCTCCTGTCAAGTGTAAACCCAGGGCTATGATTTTTGAACTTGAACTGGGGCAGAATAGTCGCTCCCCTTGCATGACTTGCATATATAATGGCTCCTCCCGCATGTGAAGATATCCCACACTGTCACTCCAAAAAATATACCAGAGGTCACTATAGGGTAATAAGGTTGCATAGTGATGACTTTTGAGTTTATAGCGGCTCTGTTTCTATCTTAACATGCGTATATACTTCTCTTGAATAGAATGCATATCTGTGTGGCAGTTGGGCAGGCCTAGACTGAAATAAGTCGTATTATTATGTCACTTTAACAAGAAGAGCTAACATGTTAAAGTTTAATATGCCAGTGTCTCTTCTTCGGCATTATTATGCTGCAATAATCATATAGTTATACGGCAAAAGGGTAGGCTATAATATGGTTTTCTGTGTCTGTGTACACTGCATTCAGCTGAGGTGAATACTTAGTGTAGCTATACAGTCCTGTGGGACATGCCAATAGAATTGGGATATGCCAATAGAATTGGGACATGCAAGTAGAGTGCTATTACAGAGATATTATAATAAGTTAGCTACACAAATTGAAAACCCAAGTGCAAAGCACTCAATTTTTTTTCTTGCATGTCAGAGTACTGTAGGTTGAACTTGTAGAATCCTCTAGGGGGAGACAGGGGTGAGGGCCGTGTTGCCCCTCTTTCCTCTCCTTGAGTGGCGAGCTCTGCTGGAGGAGAAGAGGAGGGAACCCCCTGGACGGGACCCTCTCTCCCAGTCCTCCCTCTCATCCTCCTTCCCAGTCTCCTCCACCTCCTCCTCTTCCTCAGTCTCATCATCGGAGGTCGTGAGAGAGTCAGGGCGCAGTCTGTTGTGTCGTGGTGGTGAGGACATGACTCTCAGGAAGTCTCCGCGAGTCCATCCGTAGACCAAGGCATTCAGAAATCCTTGAGATGGGACAAACAGTGCCTATAATTGTAGGGTAACAAGCTATAGTTGAAACACACAGTCGTCCATATTATTATTTTAGGTATTTATACCTCCAAGAGAAGAAGGTGATAGCCCATATTCATCCATCCACGTGAACTTTTGCGGGGCTTCTTGTGTAATCCAGTTACAAATACTGATACTCCAAGAACTAAGACTGTGTAAAATGATGTCATCTAGACCAAGCATGTGCAGTAGCTACTCACTCATTGTTCCAGTTATTACATAAACCAAGAAAAATAGAAGCACTCGTTTCTTTGCGTCTTTGTGTCCCTCAAGAATCATGGCCCGAGTAGCTCCATACAAATGAGTGGTTTCATTGTTCTCTGAGGAAAAAATCAACATACACTGTACTTAACATTCCCGTACATTTACCTCGAATCATTCTTCTAATTCGACGAAACAACTTGAAATACACCACTGCCATGCAACAGAGAACAAAAGTGAAATTAGTAATAAGCACTGCTGAATAGTAAGCCATGAAATAGTAAAGTTGTGTGAGGTATCTGTCTCCTTCCTGTAAGCACAACATTTTACGACAGTTTTGTCCACAGTAAAACTTGTTTTCTTACACGACCATCACTGAAGTCGGTGCCTCTTACTTGTGGTCTGGGTACAACATTCCCAAAGAAGGGCAAGCACCTGAATAAGGTGTAGTTTTGAGGAGGAAGTCAGAAACAGGAAAGAAACAGGCTACCAGCAAGAACAGTTGTTAGCATCACGAACTAGATCATATTCCTCAGCAATCACCCCAAATGGAACCACAATCAGTACAATAGGTAGAGTCCTAAGTAATGTCGAAAACTGGCCATTCGCGTTTTGGGCCAATGTAAAATATACCAGGCAATGAAGTAAGTAGTGAAAGAGCAGAGAGGGGGCCATACATGGACAGACACTGGTATCTGCTGCACCATCTGGAGAAACATGTAACAAACAAAGGTGGATTTGGCAATTACAAAGAAACTGAAAATGTTTGTGTAAACTATAACATGTGACACTGGTGTCCAATAGCAACTCACGTAGACACCACTGAAATCTCTCTGTTTGATGCTGGAGTAAGCCAGGAAGGCATAGATGAGGGTCACATTCATTGCGACACACTGAAGAATCTTAAAAATGACAATGTTCAATGAGTTTTTCCCACACAAAATGTTGTGTCAGCAGTAACTAAGGCAGCTGAGCTCACCACAGTGAGGCAGTTTATAATGAAACAGCTAACTCTGAGGTCATCGTGACGACTCAGTCCATCTTCTTTCAACCACACCAGTGCTCCACTGATCCACAGTACACTCAGCAGAGTGTCAACAATTGACAGGACAAATATTGGGTGAACCTGGACAGAATGATGTTGCTATACCACAATGTACATATTAGGCATACTCTGGGATTGCAGGCTGTTTTTCTGTACACAGCTGAACTTATAATGGACAGTGCTCCAATGATACTGGAAGAGACTGTAGCATCATAAATGCTCATGCATACAGCGTTTTTTACCTCAGGGAAGCCATTATTAACCTCAGCATCACTACTACGTCGAACTGTCCTTTCTGCATCGAAATGACTCATTGTAGAGCCAGTTAAACGGTGATAAACTTCTCGAACCTCTTCTGCTTCCATTTTGCAGTTCAGGTGACACCCTTCAACGTGCGAATTGTTTGAAACGACAGCCATCATCCCTGTCCACTACACTCCGTCCGATCCGCGATGCGTACATTCACGCGCATGCGCATGTGTGTCTGCTGCGTCGTATCGCGTGCGTGTGTGTGGAGGCGAGGGCGGGCTCGGCTCGCTTGTATAGTAACAGGCAGGATCTGGGAAAAGAGTGTGTTCAACTAAGCGAAATAGTCCATAATTGCAGCCCTAATGCCAGCATTTCCTAAACTCTGATCAATCATGCTCATATATACCCATGCAGTAGAGAACGACACTTGACACAATAGAAAAGCAGACTTGGAGGCTTCACTTTTCTATTCTTACCCTCAAAAAAGAGGACAGCCCTTAATAGGACAAAATGTGTTGTCTCAACGTGTCCATTTCCTGAAATATAATATAGTACACCTCATAAGTCAACAGGACACTGCATATACAGCGATGTAAAACTAGCTAGTATCACTCCACTACTACACCTAGCTATATAATCTAATCATGTCTCAGTTTCTTTAAGTGTCACAAGCCTGTGTTCATCCTGGGACATTCCAACGACCGTCGCTCACGCGATGTTGTGCAGTCTTGTGGAAAGACTCGGAATCAACGAGGCGATCGAGACTCACCATCGGTTGCTGGAGGTCACTGCCGTCCACCCTTGCTCCTTTCAGAGCTATCTCGACTGTTGATATCAACTGCGTAAGTTCCTGCAGTGCCCGGTTCACTTGGTCGGTTTTTAGGCGCTTTTTCCTTGCCTTGCCCTCGTCGGCAAGCAGTGCCATTCCACGGAGGATGGCCACACCGTTGTGTACAAAGTCGGCTGTACTGTTCTCGATCTCTCGCGCAAATTCCCTCATCCGCTGAGCGTTCCCCGAGCAACTGAGCAAGTCATCGGCAATCTCGCTGACAGCACAGATCACGACCAGGTCGGCTCTGGTGTACGTAAGGTTGTGGGGTGTCTTGAACACCACCTCCCCACCCTCTCCCTCACCATCGCCCTCTCCCTCCGGTGTCTTCTTCTTCAAGAGTGCCAGCTTGCACCGCATTGGGAGCCCGAACAACACAGCCAGGAAGATCTGGCCAAAGTTGCTGGCCAGTGGGACCTCGGAAGAGGCGGCATTCAGGTGCAAGTCGTCGCTGCTCAGACTCAGAGCACTGCCACCGGCGCCATCCACGACAAGGAGCTTCGAGGAACGGAGGAGAGGAATCCTGCGAATGTCAACCTGTCCATAGTTGAAACGGAAGAGTCCGTTTGACGTGATGTTTGTGGTGCGGGTAAGGACGGTGGCTGACTGCGACGGTGTCTCCTTCTCCACTTTCTTTAGCTGCTTTTTCTCCCAGCCCAAGTAGGGCCTCCTGGCCCCCTCTCGCTTGAAGATGGGGTCCAGTATAAAGCTGGGGATGAAGGAACACGTCTCGGGTGGGCCTGCTTCGGGATGGGTGAGGTGAAATCCAGAGTACGTTGTGTTCTCTGGCAGTGTGACAGCCTCGTCGACAGCTGCCAGGTGCCTGATGACGTCTTTGTCTCCGAGGTCAGTGTAGGAACCCTGCCCCGGTGCACGGGGCTGAGATGGAGGGAGAAGGAGGACCATGCTCGAATTTTGCTCCTGGAGTGGTCCGTCCCTGTGATTCTCTCCGTGGAATTGGCGCGCAATGTCGATGCCCCAGAGGAGGTCGAGGTTCGTGTAGGGATAGATGATCATCTTCCCAGCATAGCGACCCTCCCAGGACACCGGGTGGCGTTTGTTGGTAGTTGTGTCGACCGAGAAACCGTTGTAGCGAGAAGTGTCCCAGAAATCGACAGTGACGTCGGCGAGCGTGAGGATCCTCTGCCAGAAGACAAACTCCTTCCTCGTGATGCTCTGGTCTGTCACCATCAGGATGTCGGCTGCCGGATCTTTGGGCAGGTAGAAGGGAGACACGCGAATGGTCTGGAAGTTGTACTCGATTAACTTGTCTCGGAGGTAGAGATCGGCTTGCCACAGGCACTGGTCAAACAGCTCGGCCCTGCTCTCCATCTGCAGGGTTATTTGCACATTCACCGTCTGTCCGGCAGGTATTGCGTGAAGCTCGACAAACATGCTGTCGCGAATATTTGGGTCAAAGGTGACAGTGTAGGGAAGAGCAGCAGCATCGGCAGTGCCAGCACCGATTGGGATGAGTCTGGCATCGAGGTGGATCTGTAGGGCCACGCGACCTCCGGATCCCAGGCAGCCGCCGTACGGCATGGTGGAGATGTTCTGGACTCCAATCTCAATGACAGACACCTCTCCCCTCCCTAGGTTCTCGCTGCATTTCATGTAGGCCAGTTTGACTGGGTACTGAACCACCAGCTGCTGCTGGAATAGCGACTTTTCGAAAGGTCGCCCAAGCAATTCGACTCGGGTCGTAAATGTGGCAGACGAGACGAAGGGACCAGGGACATTTGGCGGTGGCTGGTCGAAGATACGTCCACAGTAGGTGACCGGTACCTCACATGTGTGGTTGGGATACATTTCAGGCAAGTCAAACTTTGTCGGCTCGAATTTGATGGTTGGAGTGCTGGGAATAAAGGCCTGTGGACCAGTCGGGAGAGGCAGACCTCCACTGTTGACGACACTAACACCGGAAACCATGATGCGCTCATTTGGCTCAAATATCCCGTCGTCGATTGCAGACACAACCTGCAGCTGGGTGACCTGAGCATCGTACCTGGTGGGAGCTAGGTGAAGTATGCCACCATCCACCGAGCAGACTGACCAGAGGATGCCTCCATCCGGCGCCGAACTTCCATCCCTCATGCTGGTGCCATCTGCCCCTCGAGACCCGCTGCGTCCAGTGTGTCCGCTGTGACCTGACATCCCACTGCTCCCACTAGAGTGGTGGTGGAGAGTCCCGTTGCTGTCTCGGTACGACCCTCCACTCCCGCCGGATCCGCCCGACCCACTTGACCCTCCAGAGCCACCTGAACCCCCACTCCCACCACTGCCACCCCGACCACCCTTCCCCGGGTCCCCCGATGTACAGTCGGCTTCCACTAGCACCAGCAGGCGTGGGTCACTTGATTGGATGACACATTTCCCTCCCCTTCCCGCCCGTCCTCCGTCCCCCCCACTACCACCAGGTCCCCCGTTTCCCCCATTTCCTCCGTCCCCACCATTTCCCCCAGACCCACCATTCCCACCCCTTCCAGATGCAGAGCTGTGTCCGTTATGACCACGTCCCCCACTCCCCCCGCTTCCCCCGGAGCCCCCATGTCCCCCGTCCCCACCTCTCCCCCCGTGTCCCCCATCGCCTCCTCGACAGCTGACAAACAGAACCTCCTCGGCTGTCACTCCCCCCAATTGAGCAACAAACGATGTTGACCCTGTCACTTGCAGTCCGTTTGGATCACCTTCCACTCTCACAAGGATATCACTGGCATCTGTGGCATCATCTCCCTTTGAGCGTGGGATCCGGGTCCTCCTTGTGTACCATCGCCTCCCCGAGATCCATTTGAGCCAGAACCACCACTGGATCCGTGGAAGCCATTTGTCCCCCTCTGACCAGTAGTCCCACTGGCACCATGCTGACCGTTTCTACCCGACGCCACTAGGGTGCATCCACGGGACTTGGAGTGAGCACGTTGTCCAGTGGAGCGGACTATCTGGGAGTCGGTGCACACATTAGCCGGCAAACTCGCTTCACTTCGGCTGTCTCCATAGACTTGTTGCTGGTGCTGGACCACGGACCTGGGGATGGGAAGCTGGGCGAGGGTCTTCGTAGAATGTAACCTGTCGGAAGTGGTCGAGGAAAAAGTAAAACTTCCCGACTGGATCCCAGAGAGCTTGGAGTCCAGGCTGCAGGCCCACCTCTGCACCATAACCAATGCTGATGGGAAAGAAGGTGGGAGGGCCGTGTGGTGGACGGAAGGCGTCGTGCCAGGTTCGGCGATAGGCCTTGGGGAGAGAGGCAGTGGGACTGTAGACAGGTACGTCTTTTCCCGGGAAGACAATCTTTGTAGTCAGCTCGGAGGGCAGCGAGATTCCACTGTCTTTGGGGAAATAAAACCCGATGGGGAGCTGCTGGATTGTGTCGGAGTAAGTGGGCGGGGCATCTGACGATTGAGACTGCTTGGGGACTTGGGCCCCTTCTTTCTCGTGTTGGTCAAACTGCTGCTGTCGCTGGACTAGTTCGTCTTCCGATGGGTGGATGACGTCCCATTTCCCGTGGGTAGCCTCAACTGGAACTTCTCCACCGCCATCCTGCTTGGTGAAGAATCCGTCGCCTCTGGTGCCCAGGGAGGCCATGAAGCGGCGCATCTGCACTATGTTCTCAGCTCGAAACCGGCACACCTCCTCGCCCGATGCAGTACCGATGATGGCAAAGGAGAGGAAGTTTTTGTCCTTGGGGTCGTGGCTAAGTGGCTCAACTCGAATGCCGACATTGGCTGCCTGGAAAGAACACAGCTGGTTCCCACCGTTCTCAGACAACTGATGAGAGTGAGGTCCTGCAGTGGGTGTGTGGGCATACACATGTGTGAATTTGCAGATGGACAGAGAGAGGGTGTGTAAATATTGGGTGGGAAAAGAGTCCCTGGCTATGAATTATGGCCACCTTTGTACCATTATAATACCTGACAAACTTTAACTGAGTTCTTATTAGCCACAACTATGCCGATAATATAATTAAAATGCGATAATATGTGTTTGTAGGCTGGATTTTATCTTTACTGATTCGTTTGACGCCCTGTTCCAGCACAGCAATGTCAAGAAAACGTGCTGGGGGCCAGAACTTCACCTTGTACATGTTATCTTCACCCGACATTCCCACTGCTTTGAGCTTGGTAGCTATTGCTGTTATTGTTCGACATAGTCACTCACATAAGCTCCATTAAAAGGGGCCTACACTCTTATTTCTCATTTCTACCTTGTTGACATGCAGTTTGTGCAAGAGAGAGCGTGTTGAATTCTTGGAATGGGAAGGAGTATTCTGATGAGCCTTCAGTAAGAGTCTCAGGAGAAATCACTTTTTAGTATAAGAGTAGTCATTAGTTTCTGATACTACTTTACGTGCGGCTGCTCAACTAACCAACCAACCTGGTTCTACGCTGATCCATCCCTTTTTCCAGCGTCTGAGGATCTTGGTCCGCCTCTGGAGGTATCCGTTACAGCTCTGGATGCTGCCTTCATGTAACTGGAGGCGCGTTGAGCTCTCCGGCTGCTGTCACCGGTTGTGGTGCTGGTGGAGCTGCTGCCATGGTCAAAAAAGCTAGCCTTGACTGCGTCCAGTCTAGTCTGCACAGCTATAGCGCGCGTACACGCAGGTGAGTCGAGGATCTATCTATATAATTATATCTCCGTACACCAACGCATGCGCATATAATCTCATTTCCCCCGCGTAGGTGCCCCCCGCCCTCGCCAACAGCCGCCCCGCCCCGCCTATCTACGTGTTCGTAATAGTCGTACTTCCTGTCAACCATGATCCTTTTCTAAGCCAGATCGATACCCCGCCATGGCCACAACAGCGAGTGCCAGCTCTTCCGTTCTAAGTTTGCCTTGCTCTACGCCGACCTGGAGTCAGCGGCCGCGGACACCACCAAGCTTGCCTACCAACTGTACTCGCGATCCATCGTAGGAAAGGGACTTCGGAACGAGGTGGAGGAAGCGGTGACGCCGGGGAAGGCAGCCTCCAAACTACTGGGCGCCGTGGAGAGCAGGATCGAGTCGCACCCGCGCGACCTGGACGAGTTCGTCAAATGTCTGGCCGCATTCCCGACCTGGAACACCACGCCAAGGACATGGCCAAGAAAATGAAGGAAATCGAGGCCCAGATGGTCCAGCCGTTGCCCGTGAGCGACCCCTCATCCTTCTCCCCCGCCTCGTCTGCTCCGGGTACCGGGCATCCGGTGGACATTCGGCTCATCATCTTCCCCAACGGCGGCTCGGCTCGTCACGGTGAGCAGCCACAGGAGCCTTTCGTGCTACGGAGTGCTCCAGTCGATCGCAAGCACCCACCCCAGCCAACTGCCTTCTCACCGGCTCCGTCCAGCAAACCTTTCCAGCAGACATCTTCACCATCCACCAACTCCCTGAGTAGCCTCAGCTCCGATCATACAACTCCTAGCTGTAACACCTCTTCAGCTTCGTTCTCCGTCATCACAGAGGACGCAACTGATGACTCTCCTCCCCTTGGTGACGGTATGCCACTGCGTACCATCAGTCAGACCAGCACCTCTTCCACGTTCGAAGAGGAAGTGACAGTAATGAAGGGGTCACTGGACGAACTAATGCCAAAGTACTGCAGCCTCACGAGAAAAATCCGCAGTCGAGACAAGCAGGTGAAGACCTTGCAAGCGGAGCTAGCCAGGAGAAAAGAGACATTCGCGGCTGGCATGGAGACTGCAAACCAAGAGACGAAGGACCTCCAGAAGCAGGTGGACACGCTGCAGGTCGAGAAAGGCGAACTAAGAGACGACCTGGAGAGAACGAGGGAGAGTGTGATGGCTAGCAACCAGCAGAAACAGGCACTGATACACCACCTCCAGAGTCGTTTGAAGAGCTGAAACAGTGCAAAGAGCTCTGCTCGAGACTCGAGGAGCAGATGAAGGACTCGACGCAGGATGGCGAGCTCCTGGAGAAGTACCAGAGGTCGAAGGAGAGGGAGCGAGAGTTGGAGGAGCAGCTTGAGGCCAGCAAGAAGACGGTGACAGAGCACGAGGGACAAGATTCAGCTGCTGGAGATGGAGGTGAACGTTCTCCTGGGGTCAGGGTCCCTGTCTCTCTCGTCCAGTTTCTCCGATGGCGATGGGTGGGCACTCAATCCAGAGCAAGAGGACAGTGGTGGACTGGGGTCACTACTGGGATCTGTGTAATGCGGGGTCCACTTCTATAATGTTGTATTCCATGATGTTTTATGTGTGTTTGTGACTGTTTTTCTCTATTTTTGACAGCTCATGTGTATATACATGTCAATTATAATTTTTTGGTATATTATGATGATGATGAAATGCTCTATGGTTCTATGGCTTTGCGTAGACCTGCAGTAAACATGGTAACAATGACGTAATTAAAACTGTATACGAATAAATAGAAGTCATGTGGAATAGGAACTGAAGACTTACGTACTAGCAATGGTGTCTGCCTTGTTTGGAAACTGTTTCTCAGCTTCAGTGTAACACTCTACTGCCTATACTTACGTACTAGCAATGGTGTCTGCCTTGTTTGGAAACTGTTTCTCAGCTTCAGTGTAACACTCTACTGCCTATACTTACGTACTAGCAGTGGTGCCTGCCTTCTTTGGAAACTGTTTCTCAGCTTCAGTGTAACACTCTACTGCCTATACTTACGTACTAGCAATGGTGTCTGCCTTGTTTGGAAACTGTTTTTCAGCTTCAGTGTAACACTCTACTGCCTATACTTACGTACTAGCAATGGTGTCTGCCTTGTTTGGAAACTCTTTCTCAGCTTCAGTGTAGCACTCTACTGCCTATATTATATGTAGTGTATGACGCAGTACACATAACTAAATAGCCACAGCCAGCAAACCTCTTTCACTCTGTGTAGGCCAGTTAGTGCCTTTGCTCTCTGCAGGTACGCCTTCAAATTGCATGGCTCCAGCTACTTAATGTTGTAGAGGCAATGTTAGTGGTTCCCAACAGGTACTATTTACCCTTATAGAGATCACATGTCCACTTCATCACATAGCAACCTTAGTAGGTTTATATGCCTACACAAAAAATAATGAATTACTTTATCTTGTGATTTGTTTGGAATAATAGAGCTTGTTGGTCGGTGTAGAGGTGATGTCCCATGTGGAGTATTGTCTCAGAGCACAGAGACCTTGTTCACTGCATTCTCAACTGGCCAGCTCTGAATGCTTTGTGTTCCCTATTCTGTATCCTCCCCTGTGCCTCCCTCTCCTTCCTCCTCTCTCCCTCATCCCTTGCATTCTTCGCCAATGTCTTCATAAACCTCCACATGCTCTACAGCATGTAGTATATATGGGTGTGGCGGGACCCACCATATTTGTCACCGAGAGTTTCAGTTGAAAGTATTGAATGAAAGTATTTTTAATGGGAATTAGGAAATCTCATCATGAACTCCACATGACTCGTTTTTTTCCCAAGTGGTGGTGGGACCATCACTTTAAATGAGTTCAGTGAAAGTAGTAAATGGAATGGAGGAAACATATACATTAATATACTCACTATTTTATGGGTTTAGAGAGGAAACAAAGTGGTTATATACCTTTCGCTTCCTTCTGGAGCTGTGTTCATCAGCTGAATGACCCCCTCTCCCGTGTTGATGACACTTCTGTCGTGGGCCCCTCTGTCCCACCTTGCCGGGCTAGGTACTCGTCTTGCCTTCCTGAGAGCATTCCCTGCCGCGGACACAGGCCAGCTGTCAGATCACCACCAGGTCAACCTGGAGGTAGGGTGGGGGGGGAGGAAGTGTACTTACAATTGCATCCCCTGCTGCAAAGGCGGGGTTTGATTTGTTCTCACCGATTTTCATCAATTTGGCCAGGGAAATAGATAGCTCTTTGTCTTTGAGCCCTCCCCGTTTTCTTCCTCTTCTTGAGCAGGCGCGGCGCGCGCAAGCTTGTGATCACGTGGTGCTCTATGACTGATTTAAAATTGCCGGTCGCCGCAAACAGTCTGTTGGATCTATAATCTAGAACAAGAGGCAGCTTCCTGTGGGGGGATCGTGGTTAGCTCTCTTGATATCTCAGGTTATAGGTGGGTTCGTATATTAGTCCGTAGGGCCGAGCGTACTGTGGAGCAATACCTTGCCTGTGGCTGTACGATTTGGTTACCATAGTGTCAGTGGGTGATTATACCAACACATTAGTAAGACCTTAAGTCAAGGGATATGTTCTCAGCTGGTCATACAACAAAGTTATGTACTGTCACACGATTGGGAGGTCGGAACCAACCCCTGCATGCAGGCCTCGGTCACCAGCTACCTCACGAACCTGGGCTCAGGCAGCTGGAGTCACGATCCTCTCCCCGGGGCTCCCCTGGCATTCCATTGGAGCAGGCCTCGGACTGCCTCGTCTGTTCTTGCGAGCGATCCCTGGCTTCCAACACAGACTGGAGGGCACACTCTTGGAGTGGTCTTGCGTGAAACTGTTCATCCATTAATGTCTTCGGGGAGCCTGGCCACGTAGGGCAGTTGCTTGTGGCATCGGGGAGAGCACGACCTGCGCCCCCATTTGTGGTTTGGTTGTGGGACTGGGCTGGTGATGCGGCAGCAGGATGTGTCTCCAAACTGGATTGTCAGGGGCACTCTCAAATATCTTCCAGGTCTGGAATCACGGACACTCTGTGTATTCTGTCCTGTGAACACATGGTTTTCTTCTTCTGCTGAGCGTGATTCAACTGCTTATAATGTACTAATGTGTTGTTGTACTGGTGTATTGTTTACTGAAACCGGTGCTGCAACGGTACTGTATGTGCTCAAAAACACAGTGTATGTGGTCCCCCCAATTCAAATGTTGCTACATCCCCACAGGCCTAAGTTCATGCCTACACTTGGAGAGAGTTGTTTGGTCACTTGCAGTCAATGAGATGGACAAGTGTTGAACTCAAATCTGTCACATATTCCTCTAGCCTCTTCCACCGCGTGTTCTGCCTAATCATACTCCTATTTTTTTACACGTCATCTCCTCCTTCTCGGGTCTCAACCACTGCCTGAACTTTTCTCCCCTCTTTCCACCCACCTCTTTCTCCCCCTCTCCTCTATATGTGTGGTGTCTATATAGGTGACGATGTCTCAATCTCTTGTCCTCGCCACGGGGTAGTCTAGTGGCCTCTAAGAGGGTCTCCCGGCCCTGCCACAATGACTCTTGATCAAAGCGCTCGGATATTCATCTTGCATTCTGTTTTACTTTTTTCCCACCCTTAGTCAATATAGTGGTTTGGTGCTTTAATGCTTGGTCTGTTTTAACCTTCTGGATACTAATTTTGGTACTCTTCTTTTAAATAAGCAGTAATTTTATGTCTAAATGTTATAACGCCTAGTTTTTATAACCTACATATGAATTCTTATGCGACTTTATGGATTGATCCGGCATGTTGTCCCATCGGTTTGTTATGGTGTTAAACATATCATACTTCAGGTTTTTTGTTTTCAATTGCATTCTAGTGTTCATATTGCCAAGTAGTTTTATTAGTTATGCCGACACCATTTACCTCTTCATCTAAACCTCAGTCCCTTGTTGAGAGCAGGGGAGATGAAGACATACACGTAGGATATACTTTATATTATTGCTGTTGGTCTGACCCCCCCAAGGCAAGTTGTGGCCATGGCTAAAATATTAAAATAAGATGGCCTCCTCCATCTTTCACACGTACAATGTGTTGGTTTTCAAGCACCGTGCCTGAAATTTCACTGCTTCTTTGCCAGGATATTGCGATGGAGCCCTACTCTCCATGAATGTTTTCCTCAGTCTGTGGGTGATGGTTTGACGGGCCTTAAGGTTGCTAGAGGTGGGACCTGTACTGGGAGGAGGCCAAGAAACACAAGTGAGAGTTTCTTCTCTATGTCTGTACACACTAATCTGTTGTTTATTGCAGCTAATGTGTAGCGAGGCACTTTGCAGTTGTTCTCCACAGGAAAAGGTCACCAATCCCCTTAATTTTACATGTTGCCGCTAAGTTGCCCAAGCAAAAAGTTTTGGGGAACATGACACAGTTAGGTATCCATATGGATTTTGGAGTTGGAACATAGTGTGTGTGTTGTGTGTGTGTGTGACACCTGCATGTGTGGTGTGGTTGTTTTGCAATTGGTGGATAAGAAGATAAGATAGAGGTAAAGTGTTATGGCAGACTAAAGCTAACGAGATGAGGTTCTGCGTGCTGGACTTTTGTTCGGCGTCTCCACCGCATTGCATGCCAGCCGGTTGCTTAAACGTACATGGTAAAGTCTATCCACAAAGTCCTAGCAACATGCATGGTATCAGGGCTAGGCTTTTTGTTACTGGTCATCAGGGAGTTCCCATATTCACCACTGTCACAATTTGCGTTTCGGCTCCCTCTTTAAAACTCCCGACACGTGATATCACTCCAGAAGGCGAGGCCACTACGACCTGGTTGGAGAATCTCAGATTTGCCTAGATCATGACTACAATTATTGTACTTACAACTTTATCTGTACATAAAGGAACTATTTTAGTATAGCAGTACGTACATTAGTATAACTTGTTCATTCTTTGTTGCTCTTCTCTATTAGTCATCTTCTTTCTTTCTTCACCTATTGCTCTACTAAAGGCTAACTGGCTTGCTTGTGGATGTTATGTATATTAGGGCTCCAAAAATACTTCCCATGCTGTTAATTAGAGTGTGTGTGTGTGTGGAGTGTGTTGTGTGTTTGTGTGAAGGATAATTTGGGAAGAGGAGTAGCGTTAGTGAGGTATATAGGGAACACCGGGGTGTATCAACATTGTGCACACATTACTTTTTTTTTTTGATCTTGTTCGTCTTTTTTCTTTTTTTTTTCCTTTTTGTTTTTTTTTTTTTTCTCTTTTTCTTTTCTTTTTCTTCTTTTTCCCTTTCTATCTTTT